TTAGGTAATTAATATGCACGGATTTTTACCAAAAATTAATCAAATCTGCGCATATGTTCAGAGCATCTATGTACCAAGTTTCATCAAAATCCAATGAGTGGTTCTTTAGATATCAGTGGAACAGTCATAGAACAGCTAAAAATTAGCTAATTATCATGCAAATTAGGTAATTAACGAGCATGGATTTTTACCAAAACCTAATCAAATCTGCGCATTGGCCCAGAGCATCTATGCACCAAGTTTCATCAAAAACCGATGTATGGTTCTTGAGATAGCAGTGGAACAGTCGGACACACATACACACACACATACACACATACACACATACAGACACACTAACTGCAAAGACTCCCATTTTGTGCTTCGCACATGGGAGTCAAAAAAGAATATATTTTGACATTCTAAACATTAAATTATAGTTATCAATAAAATAGAGAAATAATTAAAAAGAGAAATGACAAAACACAGCTACTAAATAAATGACTGCTGAGTGAAAATAAATTTGTAATGTGTGAACGCGTCGAGTCGTGACGGGGACAAGTGCGTGAATGGGGCGTTTAATTGGATAACAAAAATAATTGAGAGCGATTCGCATACAGAAAAATTCAGAGTGGATTTAGCGTGATTTTCATAATTATGACATCATATCAAAAAAATACTTGTTGGAAACACATTGACAGCCCAACCCCGGATTCTTATTCCATAAATTATTACGCAGATCAAACTGCAAGTAAAGGCAACAAAGGTGTGAATTCGACATTCAACACCAATCACCGAACAATTCAGACACTTTTAGCCTGCGAAAATGAAAACAACCTGAGGGCTGCGTAATTTCCTGTTTGTCCGACGCTTCGTTTTCGTGTCATTATCAAAATTACTGCTACCTTTTACATAACACGGGTGGTCTCTATAAAGCGATAATCAGGATCGCAAAAAAAAAAATCAAATCATTTGAAACACTTACCCGACCTCTCTCTCCCTTCTGATATCTGCCTCAGTGATCATGGGCTGGTCAGAAATCCATTATTTTGAAAACTTTTTGTATTGTGCCAGGTTTAAGTTGTCGGCGTTTCTCGTTAAAACCTAGTTGTTTTGTCATGGACGAGGACAGTTTTTCGAAAAAAAAAATCTGAGGTGAAGTGAACACTACATATGATGCTGTAAGGAGGAAGTCCACCCCAACTTTTCTCATTATTTTCACGACTTTCGTCCACCGATTTTGCACCTTCGGATTGATTGGAAATTTAAGTACTTACACTATGACTATACGCATTACTGCAATCACCCACAACACAATGTTTAACCATCATAAATGTTTGTTGTGGAAACAACTAAAAATTCGCTCTCTCAAAAATAAAATAAAATAGACAAAAAAAAAGGAACGCCAATCAAAAAATGTATATCGTTTAAAAGTATGTTGAATGACACAGTGATATAAAAGTACGGCCCAGGGGTATGGCTTCCTCTCATATTTGGTGGCGCACTTTCGGCAAGAGTCGGAAATGCGGAAACAGTCGACCGTTTCAGGATAGGTGGGCGTGGCTACAGCACGGGAAATATCTCAAATTTACTTGGATACGAGTAATCATTTTCAGCAAAAAAATCAATAATTAATAAATAATAATTTCAGTGGGACACAGATCTAAAATGGTAGAGTGTGTGGGTGAGCATTGCACAGGCACTTTAATATACCAAGGAAATTAACAAAATACACGTGCTTTGACTGTCTGACTCGACCCTCACGTCTTCACGGGGGCATAGCATTCAGTATACTAGTAACGGCAGAGCTCCAGAAGGAGTACCTACACTTTATGCAAATTTTTTTTAAATTATGCTAATTTATTCATGACGTAGCAGTTTCTGTGCTCATGAATATTCATTAATTTGTGGGTCAATACATTTTAAAAGGGGCGATATATTATTTTTGGGGGAAGAGTTAGAAAGGGGGAGTAGCAATCCTTAGGGGGTCAATACAAAAGAAGGAACCCATTTGGAGAGCAGCCATGCTCCTCGTGTCTGTTGTTGCACGTGACCTACAGCTGTCAACAGTGTTCGTTCTTCGACTGTGTTCGTTCTTCGACGACTTCGACTGGCTTCCATGTGGGGTAGTATTCTTGTGTTCCGTTTTCCTGACTTGAGTTTTTGAATCCGCTGTTTATGTTTTTAACGTCTCTCATGTCTTTTGTAGGAGTGTCCAATCCGTGATTCGAA